GGGGTTAGTTGTCCGGGGGTAGTTGTCTGGGGGATAGTTGTCCTAGGGGTAGTTGTCTGGAGGTAGATGTCCGGGGGTAGTTGTCCCGCAGGGTAGTCGTCCTAGAGGGTGGTTGCCCTAGGGGGTACTTGTCCTAGGGGGTAGTTGACTAGAGGTGGTTATCCGGGGATGGATGTCCATAAATTAATATGTTCAAATGACCCTTACATCCTACCTTACTACACGTCAACTTCTTATATCCATAATTACCTAACGATGAAGCTCTAAAAACAACAATGACCTACTTCACCAAAATATTACCTGAAGATCCTCCTTAGGATTGCCATGGGGGAAACATACTCCTAACCCCGGTATCACTGCCCCTGCAGGCATATCTTCTTTCTTACCTTTATTCATTTATCGATTCATTTATACATTCATGCATTTATTAAGTTATAGACTCGTTCATTCATTCGTTATTTTCTTCCTTTGCTCTTGTGTTCTTTCTGTGTCTCTTTATCTTTCCATCTCTCGCCTATCTCCTCAATCATTCACTAGTTTACTAATATCCGCCTTTTCCTCTATACTCATACTCTTTCTTAAACGACAACGTAGTTATTCAAAGTATAGGCATCCAATATAACTCTTGTAAAAAATCACACTCTGTACAATTTTGTTGTTGACTTTGTACTTCATCAATACATCATTATTTATACACTAATTTCATAAAGTGATATTGAGATAATTTTGCGTTAGGACAGTCGTTTCGAGAACGTTTGTAATGAACAAAATATGAAAGCGTAAATTTATAATAATTTATACCTTCCAAAATTAAAAAACAAAAACAGCCCTGGTTAAATCGCTTTTTTTTTTATACAAATGGGTGTATAAAAAAGTACATTGCAAGAGAATACAGAAAAATATATGCCAATAATATGTACTGATACACTTCAGTTTTATACATATAAATACAAAGGTCAAAATGGTGTTTAATAGGCTTACCATGTAATAGTCGTAATGCTGAAATGTACCAAATCAATAAAGGTAAAACTTTATTTACGCCATCACCTTTTCACTCCCAAGGACATTTATGTACTCACATGAAATATATGACCATTATCTCAATGTTGAACTAAACTTTAGGAAAAGAAAACACTTACAAAAGCGCATAGGTCATATCTCGTAAGGGTCTCTCTCTCTCGAGTTTTTAAATTTGGTAATAAATACGTAATAAATGTTATAGTGTCTAAAAAAATTCTTTACAGAATACTGCTATTGATATAAAGGGCCATAACACGTCAGTATAGATAAGAGATTATTGATAACCAAGAGAGAGAGAGAGAAAGAGAGAGAGGGAGATAAAGAGAGAGTGAGAGAGAGAGAGAGAGAGAGAAAGTGTGAGAGAGAGAGAGAGAGAGAGGAGTTAGAGGGAGAGATAGAGAGATAGATAATACGTTTTCCCCTTGTCAACAAGATGATCGGTCGATCGGTTCTTGTACTGTGGCAATTATGCCATCTTTTTTTGGATTCTATGAGAGTAAACTTTAATTCACAATTTTTTTTTCGGTGAAAAGGACACGAAATCTATGATCTGAAGAGTATTTCAACACTGTTAATCGCTGTGTTAAGCATTGCTTCAGCCTTCCATGTTTTGTTTCAGTCAATGGAAATTATCCAATTAAAAATTCGTATATAAGTATAATTCTACTGTGGGGAAAGAAACTGATTTTCATCGAGAGGTTAAAAACTCTTGTTAGAGATTGTGAGGGAATTGAATCTGAAAATTCAAACAAAGATAGTGTACCCTAACTAACAACAACGTAAAATTAAAATATTAATGGACACAGACAATCACAAAGACTGTCGAAAAAAAACCCACCTAATACAACTGTTTATGTGCAATTTTGATAAGCTCCTCCGTCATTTATTCAAAATGTGTAAACATTGCAGCCAACATGACAATAACGTATCACATCACCCAAAACATGATATTTGTTGGATGCACAATATGATATTGACATTCCCATTACGTTTAATTATCGAATGTGTTTGCTAAATGTTTACAGTACTTCGTCATTCCGATTTATCGTTTTGTACAACGCTTTTTGGCGAAAGTACTTTTCTAGGGTTATTCCGGTAGATCGTCTCGCACGTCACTCTCCCGTTTGCCGAGGTCATTCTCATCTTGAAAATTAAATAAAGGATTAAATTAATCTATGATGGTGACCTCTTCATCGTCCTGGCAGCGAATGTAGACGCCATTTTTACCGGAAAGGGTGTTCTTCTCGTCAGATTCCCTGTGTGAAGATAACAAGATCACAGCGTTTCAAATATGGTCATATGGGCGATTCAACATTTGCTGCTGCAACAATAAATTGCTCCGGGATATCAAAGGTGTAGAGGGTTAAGAGTTGAAGTGTGGGTTTTAGGTGTAGCGTTATAGGGTTTTATACGTTCCTCAGTATAATAATATATGATACTCTACCCCTACCAACAGTTTTGAATATTCCTTAATTTTACACTCCATCGAGGACTGGAACATAAATCAAGCGATCTTTAGAGCACCATAAACGATAAAACACACAAACTTCAAGTATCCAACTTCTTCCAAAAGCAAAATAAAAGCAACGATCTATCAAACACGGTTCGAGCATAGTAAAATGTGGGTGGGGGATTGCGGAAGGGGTTGGGGCACTGGCGTACCTATGGGGGGGGCAGGGGGGGCAGAGTGCCCCCCCTGACGGGCTCCAGGGGAAAAAAAGAAAAAGGGGAAAGAAAAGAAAAGAAAGGAAAGGAAAGAAAAAAAAAAGGAAAAGGGAAGAAAAAAGGAAAGAAAGAGAAAAAAGGAAAAAAAGGAAAGAAAAAAGGAAGAAGAAGAGAAAAGGAAGAAAAAGGGAAAAGAAAAGGAAAGGAATAAAAATGGGGAAATTTATTTTAAAAAAAAAAGACCATGGCCGTACGCACCAAGGGGGGGCAGATATTTTGAAAACGTACAGTTTTTTTTCCTGAAAATGTAGTGTACGCCTTTAATTACCAATTCCTTCAATTCTACTTTTGAAAATGCAAAAGTACCCTCATGACCAGTTCGGTCGCTCGAACTCCCTTCACTCCTTTTGCTTTTGAGATTCTTCGAAAACTTTTAACGCATCTTTCCCCCTCCCCCACCAGAAAAATATTCCGCATACGGCCCTGAAAAATTAAAACAAATGAAAATAGGAAAATATAAGTGATATAACAAATTCGAAACTCTTCGCTGGCGCGAACTGCTTGCTAGCCTATTTTGTATTAAATGTTTTCACTTGCTCGTCCCCCTGAAAAAAGAAAAGGATTAGTATTGCCTAGAATAAAATTGTGCCTGCCCCGACGGGCCCCAACCTGCAACCATGGCAACAATAACACACAATATATGTACCAAATGTTACTAAAAGAGACTAATTCATTTTTCTCGCTCGCTACACTCGCTCGCGAATAAAATGAATAGACATTGCTTTGGAAACAATTGTGCCCACCCTTGACCTGCAACAATATCATTAAAAGTGGGAGAGTTTTTTCCCCCTCTCGCCAAAAAGGAATTGAATCGCGTTAAACGCGATTGCGTCCATCCTGACCTGCACCAATAAAAACAAGTTTATTTATTAATTTTTATTAAAAGAGAATTTTTTTTTTTTGCTTGCTCGCTATGCTCGCTCGCCAAAATGGAATTGACACCGCTAACGTTCCCGCCCCAACCTGCAACAACCAGTTAATAATTATGTACCAAACGTTATTCAAAGAAGTTTTGGTGTGCTCGTGCTCGCCAAAACGGAATTAACATCACCTTAGACATGATTGTGTAAGCCCTGCCCTGCAACAAAAAAATCTGAAATTTATGAACCAATTATCATTACAAAAATTTTGCTCGCTCGCTACGCTCGCTCGCCAAAATAGAAATAACACCGCTTTTAATAATCACGTCCCTGACATGGAACAATGAACCCAAGTTTATATATACCATATTTTCCCTATAAAAGAGAAGTGATTTTTTTTTGCTCGCTCGCTACGCTCGCTCGCCAAAATAGAAATAACACCACTTTTAATAATCACGTCCCTGACATGGAACAATGAACCCAAGTGTATATATACCATATTTTCCCTATAAAAGAGAAGTGATTTTTTTTGCTCGCTCGCTACGCTCGCTCGCCAAAATATAAATAACACCGCTTTTAATAATCACGTCCCTGACATGGAACAATGAACCCAAGTTTTATGTACCATATTTTCCCTATAAAAGAGAAGTGATTTTTTTTTTTCGCTCGCTACGCTCGCTAGCTCGTGGAATTATGTGCCCACCACTATCTGCTACAATATCATTAAAAAGAGAAATGTAGGGGGTTGCCTGCCCGCCAAAATGGGATTGACATTGCCTTAAACACGATTGTGCCCACCCCCTACCTGCAACAATGAAACAAATTTTATATAGCAATTCATTGAGAGAAAGATGTATTTTCGCTCGCTAGCTAAAATGGGTATAAAATCACCCTAAACACAATATTGTTCCCGCGCCCTGCATGGGACAATTGAACCAAGTTTAAGTGGCAAATCTTAAAAAAGAAGTGATTTTTTTCTTGCTCGCTACACTCGTTTGCAAAAAAATTAAATTAACGTCGCTAACAAGTGAATGTTCCCACCCCAACTTGCAACAATACCAGTTTATATACCAAACGTTACTTAAAGATTTTGTTTTGCTCGCTCGCTCGCCAGAAGTGAAAATTAGCATCGCCTTTTTTGTTTGTTTCGGTCGCTTGCCCCCCCCCCCCTGACGGAGTATCCCAGGTACGCCACTGGGTTGGGGATAGGGAGGCTAGAGGAAGTAGAGGGAGGGAGAACTGAGATGGAGGGTAGGAGGAGTCAATGAAGCATGCAGGCAGGAGAGAAAGACAGAGAGTGAGAAAGGGGTGTGTGAATAGATTAGCTAGAACAATAGTTTACATACATTCCATAATTTTCGCCTTCTTCGATCGTTTCGGGGAGCTTCTGGCAATCTGGCCTAATGTTTCGGGGAGGAAGAGAGTCAGGAGGCCAGCGATCACTGTGACGGACCCATAGATGACGAGGGGTAGTGGAGTCCAAATCCAGGCCAGTGTGAGTATAAGGGGCGCCATGATGCCGGAGATACGTGCAAACATCGAGCAGGTTCCCATGGCCACGCTCCTATGTTTCACAAGGAAATGATTTCATAAAACATGAACAGACTTATGTCATCATATTTTTGAAGTCGCCCAATATTCATGAAGTTTCCAAATGATTCGAAAAGATAAGTGACTTGAAACCATTTTGAATGTCGAAATTGCCCTTTTGAACTTCAATTGCTCAAACATCCGATAACAAATTTGAAAGCTTTTTTTTCTCCATTCTACCGTAACTCAAGAGTCTTAACCCTAAAAAGGCCCGGCTATTTGAGGTCTTAATACGGCCGGGGGGAGGGGGCATTATGGCCCCCCTTAAGATCTCGGCCGTGAAACGGCCGATCTCTGCCAAAGTTTGCACGCATGGCAAGTGTATAGGATACTATGATAATTTCAATTTTTTGAAAAATTTACTCATTTGCATATTTATGGTAATTTATGCAAATAAGGTCATAAATCACAATTTGACCTATAAATCATATATTATTCATATTTAAGCATTCTTTTTCACCACATATATTCATTAGACCATTTGAAATGATAATACGACAAAAAAAATTGGAAGAGCCAGCTTATTCCTTATGTTATCTTTTGTTTTGAGAAGATATCTGGACTGTATTTCATTGTTTTTTTAACTTATGTACTGTATTGTGTTTGTTGTTTAATTTCATTTTTTACTACAATTCAACTATTTTGACCCCTACTACACTTTAAACATGACCCAATTACCAATGTTTTATCTATTTTTAGGAAAAATGACATTTCCATATTTAAAGTTTTGTACACAAATCACAAAAATTAGCGATTTTCTGGCTGACATGCAAAGACAAAATGTCACGTGACCTTGTAACTGTAGGTCCGATTTTCATTATTTTTTTTAAAGATGCGCAAGGCTCGAAAGAAAAAAGTCAGTGAGCGGCGGAGCGTCATCCATGTGCGTTCTCGAACAATCAGAAAAATCGTGGAGGGAGGGCCATTATGGCCCCCCCCCCCGGCATTATTAGGGTTAATGGTATCACATTATTGCAAATGCGGCGCGCTCGGTGGGAAGGGGGCAGAGGGAAGGGCACAGTGCCCCCACTTTTTCAAGTTCCCCAAAAGTGCTCCTTTTTACATAGGAAAAGTGCCCCTTTAACTTTGTAAGAAGCGCCCCTTTTTATATAAAAAGTGCCCCTTTACTTTGATAAGTGCCCCTATTAATTTAAAAAAAGTGTCCCTATTAATTTTTAAAAGTGCTCCTTCCCTTTCCACCTCTGATATGTGCCCCTTTTATTTTTAACACAAACCTCTTTTCCATGACAAGTTCCCAGTTTCCTTTGTAATATGTGTCCATTTTCCATTCTAATAAGTGCCCTTTTTAATCTCTAGTAAGTGTCCCTTTTTCGGGTACGAGAAGCGCCCCTTTTCACTTTTGTTTCATGTCTCGTAATTGATCCTATTCAATTATGAGAGATACTCGTTTTATTGTGACAATTGCCCCTTTTTCTAATGATAAATGTTCTTTTCATCTCTAATAACAGTCCTGTTTATTTTGACACGTGCCCCTTTTTCATTCTCATAAGTGCCTCTTTTCATATATGGTCAGTGCCCCTTTTCAGATGCGATAAGTGCCCCTTTTCACCTCTGATAATTATCCTTTTTTACTTTGACACGTGCTCCTTTTATTTCTATAAGTGTCTTATCCCTTCGATAAGTGTCCCCTTTTCCTCACGTGCCCCTAATTTCAAGCGACTATTAAAGAGCAATATCCCCTATGCTCGCTCACATTTATAGATGTTATAATTATGTTACTTATCAAAGGTGTTTTCAGTCTGCTGTTATGAGAATGTGCTTATTTATAACCCGATGAGGATTAGGGTTTTCCTCTTTATAAGATGTAGTTTTTGAACTGCGACCTAAGAAATCCTAATTTGTTTCCTCGCTCACTGTGCTCGCTCGCAAATGATTTTTTTTCGACCATCACGCCTAACTGCAAGATATGATGCTTAAGTAATATTTTATACGATGTATAAAGAGAAACAAAATAATATTGAAACCATCCCTGATAATGTAATCAAATTATGAGGTGTATATACCAATGTCTAAACAATTGTATATTTTCGCTTTGAGATTCGTTTTTTAGGTACCCTTTTTTCTCCAGAAAGTGCTCTTTTTCTATGGTGCCCCCCCCCCCTCACTTTGGAAGTCGCTCCGCCGCCTCTGCATTATTGTCTTATTGTTTGTTGCAAATGCGTGGTGTTCTAGGCACCCCTTTTACCTAATTATTTCTTTGAGTCGTAAATAATTTTGGATAAAAGTTTGACTGGAATGGTTTTGCTTAGTATACTTATGTATTATTATCTATTATCTATCATTTGTTTCATTAAATTATTCATTGATTTAATTATTCATTCATCTTTTTAAAATTCAATGTTCGATATTTATATATTTTTTTTAATTTCTAAAGCTGATGCTATTTATATCTTAACCGTGTCAACGAAATTAATTGAGTACACTATTATGAAAACCGTGTACACAAGCTTTACCTGATTTTGGTTGGGTACAGCTCAGCGGTGTACAAATACAGGATGGTGAAAGATGCCGAAATTCCAAATTTACCAATCATTGCAACTGATGTGAGTGCTGCTCCGCGTGCTATGAACATTATTAAGAGAAAGAAAGAAGACAACAGAAAAAATGAATAGAAATAAAAAAATACGTTGTTGAAAGTGATCGCTGATAGGGGAATTGACAGACTTTTGTTCAAGTCCTGATAAATGGGTGGATGGAAAAACGTTGCTAAATGATGTTGCCATCTTTTTTGCAGTTTTAATGTTCAAATAGTGCATACTTATGGGAAAGGGGCGTTCACGTTAACTTTTGATTATCTATTTTTTGTTTGTCAACTGCAATAGCATACATGCACAATAAGCTGTCCCTATTTTTTAAATACATGAGCTGCCACAGTTTTCACTATTGCTTTGATCGATTTAGATTTGTTGAGGGTAGAGGGAGGGGGAAAAAAGAGATAGAGAGGCAAAGAGAGAGAGAGAGACAGACAGACAGAGGTAGGGAGAGAGAGAGAGAGAGAGAGAGAAAGAAATGGGTAGGGATGGGTAAGGAGGAGAGGAGAAGAATGGGTGTCAGAACCTCAAGCAACAGTTCCATCCTTTAAAATTTTATTATCTTACGTATGAAAGTTGTAAAGAGGCAAGCGAAACCGCCGACCAACATGCACGCACTGAGACTAATCCTTCGTCCAATAAACTTGATCTCTACGTCGAACACAGCGAGAAGGAAAGCGGGGATTTCGATGGCTCCTGACACTGCGAAGGCGACGTAGTCGTTGACACCGAGGTTGGAGGTGTTTATTGATAGTCCGTGGTACACCATGGCATTCACCATCCTGATGAAATATAAAACAACAAAGAAGAATAATAATATGAAAGCCACAAAGTAGCCAGTGTCCATGTTTATTGCATCATAAATTACTGCCACCAGATTTATAGGTTAAATTACAAATTAATGTGTTTACAGGTCTCTCAGATAGCGCAATTGGTTGCTCCACCGGAAAACATGCCAGGTTGCCCTCATATCTGGAGGGCGAGGGAAGTCTTTATGGCGATATATTCTGGACACAGTGCCTAACATAAGACCTGTCGGTCGTTTAAGTGATGTCTAAACACAGAATTGATATAGAACGATATGACAGAATATCCTCATTTTCGAGTCGAGGTAGCCGGAAATATCATTTGATATCATACCATATAAAGGCCTATATTTCTTATGCAGCTTTAAATGCAATCGTAGCTTGCAACTGTATTGAAATATTAACAACAAGTGTAATAATAATTACAATATTAATAATGATTATAATATGATAATAATTAACAAAATATATAATAATAATCATAATTATAATTATAATAACATTTCCATATAAATATTTTTAATCTTATGCTAACTCGTTATTAGAAGTTTAAATTTAATAGAACACACCAGTTAAAGATAAGAATGATGGTAGTTAGTCTCACTCGAGGCAGGCAGAATAGATTTATTCCTGTAGCTCGTTTCTCCTTCGGTGCGGCCTCCTATACGAATAGGTATAGTAATAATAATAATAATAATAAAAATAACAATAATACTTATAATATTAACAATAATTATAATGTGCTTAATATTGATTACAGTAATAATAATGATTACAATAATGGTGATAACAATAATAATACTTGTAATCATAATTAAAATGATAATAATAATTATGATAATCATGATTTAAATGATTATACTGAAAAGAATAATGAACACGTTTCCTAAATGTTACAGAGCATTAAACTGTCCAACTGAAAACTAATTTGAATCTGTCATGTCTGTGATGATTGAGTCAGAGAAACTGACTAAAAGCTGTTCTAAGTATATTATGAAGCAGATTTTATGTTAGGACAAACGGAGTTTTTAAAAAACTTTTAAAAAGGTTTCTGGGAATTGGTTTTTCTTTGTCCTTACCACAAAATTAGCAGGTATCCCTTTTTTCATCGGAGGCGGTGGTGAGGAGGGGTGGGCAGAGGGAGTGAGGAAGGTGAGGGGGAGGGGAGGGGAGCCGTTATGAAAAATACAATATTTTTTTGTCGTCTTAATTTTCACTTCACTTCAAGTTAGCACCCACACACACAAACCCCTAAAACGTGTCTACAGCACGGTGAGCCTTCAAAGTCTTTTCATCTTCTCCTCCTACTCTACTCTACTTATGTTCCTCCTTCTCCTGCTCATCCTGCTCCTGCTCCTACTTCTCCCCTCACCCTCTTGCTCCTTCCTTGCCCTCCTATCTAAAAATATCTAGAAAGGATCCCTAACCCTGTTTATTGTTTTCTGGATATGCCTTTGTGGGGGGGGGGGTCTCTTTCGGTATTCTACGTACTAACTTGTTCTTTCCTGAAATCACTGCTGAAGAATGGACTTGAAAGTGGCTTGTTGTTAGAGTTGGCAATCTTCACTAGAGTCTTCTCCGCCTTGTCATACTTTCCCATCGATATTTGCCAGCGCACCGACTCAGGAAGAAAGCTGGCAGGAGAACACAAACCAACAAATAGATTTGTGAGATGAAGGTACAGAAGTTTAGTTCCCTGACTAAGTAGCACAAGGTACGAGGTTTGAAAACCTGTCACGGCATTTCTGTCCTCTGGAAAGACATTAATCAATAAATCCCACTCTCCACCCAGGAGAAGTAAAATGGGTACCAGTTGGGAAGACATTTTCAAGTTCTGGCGCGCCTTAACATGGTAGCCGTCCTAATAAACTTTTCGCAGCTCTTTCAGTCCATATGATAAAACGTTCATTCAATCTGACGCAAACAACATTTTTGTCGGAAACTGTCAGTAAAGAGTACACTTCAAAGGTTCAATCATTCGATTTCGAGTATCGAATATAGGATTTGAACACTGCCATCATTAAAATTAATTCCGTCTACTGCGTGTGCCAATATCTATTCAAATTCGTCGGCAATTGCCGAAAGGTGGACATTCAAATTCGCGAATGGGCAGTCAATTCATAACATGTTAATTCGAATTAACCTGGATGCTGTTGAGTCCAAGTGCATGTGAACATTACAAATACTATAATCATGACATTATAACACTTAATTGAAAAATACACTTTGAATTTAAAAAAAGGGAATCATTAGAAACCTTGGACTGATCAGATCTGAATAAACGAAATGCTACATATGTTTCTCCTTAATGAATTTGAATTTTCGAATGGAATCTTTCTTTTGAATGCCTTTTGTGCTCCTAGCTAGTTTACAAAAAGTGAATGAAAGGTGTTTCAAACCGCTAATGACAGTGAAATGTTTAAGTTCCTGTGTTTATATTTAATCTAATCGTCGGCACAAACAAAAAGAGATTAATGCTTTTCTTCAAACCATGTTAAACGATGATGAGTCTCATGAGATGCAGTCGTCTACATACAACCGAAGTAGACACCACATTACAGATTTAGAGATATAAAAGAGTAATGATTCTATAAATTCTCTTACAACATCAAGCCAATGTAGATAAGTGCCGGGGAGACGCAAATCAGTTCTAAAGTCCTCCAGTATGGTACGAAGTAGGCAATGCCCGCGAGGCAAATGTAGCCGAGAGCATAAGGGATAGATAAGATAATACCGGTGATGTTACGTTTCGATGGCCCGACGAACTCGATTCCTAGAGAATAGAGGAAGAAAAATATGGAAATAATATATTAGGAGCTTTGTACCATAATGCCATCTCTTCATCGCCTTGCCTGATGAACTAAAATTTGTATTTCTGAAACTCGGTATTGGGTTATTTATGTTTAATTGTTTGAGTGTTGAATATAAATTCTGAAAACGATAATCTTATTCTTTCTAGACAATAGCTTTCGGCACAAGATCAACAAGCCCTCATCACCATATCCTAAACTAACAGCTATCTACTCATCAGCAGACAATATAAACATTCACCATGTTTAAAGTCTGAGGGGAGAGAAGGTCACGGCGAGAAGTAGTTAAAGAATAGAATAATAAAATAAAATGATAAAAGGACAAGAGTGTGTGTGTGTGAGAGAGAGAGAGAGAGACAGAGAGAGAGACAGAGAGAGAAAGTTAGGTGAAGAATATTCATTATTTGTCTCCAAGTCTACCACTACTGATATTCCTGTATTTGATTTGATCAAACTAAATACATCCATATTTAGGTTTAAATTTCATGAAAATCTTATACCATCTTTCTTGTTAAAATGTTCCAAACAAATTCTTCTATTCACAAATACCCCTCTCGTCAAAGTCAAAACTTACATCACCCACTTTTTCGTTCAATTTCATTTTATAACATTTATATCGTTTGTTTGGGTACGCAAATGAAATTCATTGAATCATGACCTAAGATCCAGTTCTACAATTAACAGGTTTAAATCGATGTACAAAATAGGTATTTTATCAACGAATGTGTCCATGGTTGAGTATAGGTACTTCTCTTTCGATTTGTTTCTTCTACTTTTATTTCTTTCCTTCGCTCCTTTCTATTCTTTCTGCGATACCTTCTTTAAAATGTGTGCGTGTGTGTGTTGGTGTGTACTATGTTTGTGGTTGTTTGACGCAAGTCTTTTACTTTGTATTATTTATGTTCATTATCTTGTTCTTTTATTTTGGTTGTTACAGGGCTCCAATAACAAGCATAGTTCTGCTTCATAGTGATCCTTACCATTAGTATTGTATATTTTAATTGTAAATTGTTTTATAAAGGTCGGCTAAAGATTTGATTGAATAAGTCTGAATAGAAAAGTGAGTAATACACATATAAATAGGACAGAAAAGAAATGGTAGAGAGGAAATAGTAGTAGTAGTAGTTATTTTCAGTTTGATTAAAAACAAACATACAATACAAGTATATTCATAAGTATGAAGGAAACGGCTGGATAACCCAGACTCAGCTGTTCCAGGCACAACATCACTGGTCTGACACGAGGTCCAGAAAGCATATACAAACATATCAAACATGACTAATAATTTGTTACTAAAGTAAAGGATATAAAGAAGGTATAACACAAAGTTATGAATGCGTAAAATCTACAAAAATGGTAGTTGTATGAAAGGACTGCAAAAGTCAAATAGGGATAGAGTGAGAGAGGAATAGAGGCGGAGGGAAGGAACGGGGGAGAAAAGGAGAGAGAAAGAGAGAGAGAGAGAGGAGTGGAGATGGAGAGGGGAGAAAGGGGAGTGGGTGAGATGGGGTACCACATTGTTCTTAATCTCTTACCTACAATGAAGGCAATGATGTAGATAGAGACAGCAGCGTATCCCTGGAAGAACCGCAGGAAAGTGAAGACCCACCAGTTGGGTGAGAATGCTATAGCTGTACCCGCGATAAGCCGGACAAACATCATTGCCATTAGTATCCACCATCGTCCAACCCTTCAAACATACATAAGATAAAGCAAAAATCATCATGATCACAACTTGTGATCACATATTTTAGGCAAACGTGCCGCTAGGAATGATATGTACATGTAGGCTAATTTCAGTCAGAAAGTACCAATGAAGTATTTTGTGGGGTGGCTTTCCACCACGAAAACCCCGAAACCAAACCACAACAGAATAAACAATGAAGGACGACCTCCCCCGCCTTTAAACCGCTTTGCTTACTTACATATCTCCCAATGTTCCGTTGATTATTGAGCCAGCTAGGTAACCGCCGTAGTAAGCCGACTGGGGTATTTGAGTCTGATCTTCCATTCCACATACCAGGTCAAACTGAAGCAAATGTAACATCATATGTATAATGAGTAAATTAATGAGTAATTTTATGTACATAAAACACAACGAACCGATGTCCATTGCACACGAGGCGTCTTTTTACTAATGCCTTGGTCACAAATACCATTACGAACTGCTACGAACGCCTTACGAACGATATTCAGACCATTTCGTAAGATCTTCTTTAGAAGGCCGTACGAAACCAGTGTTCGTAGACCGTTCGTAAGTTCGCAGACTGGTCGATGGTCTTATCCAATATTTTTGTCAACCTCATCTGCATTGTCAAGATCACCATCATACACATTTGTATTTTAAAATTACTTATCCATTTCTGCTTAATAGTATTGTCTGTTTACCATTTCTTTGTTTTAAATAACAATTTATACATATATGTATTTGCTTATTTATGATTCATTGTCAGAAAATTATTTATTATTCTTAATATTATTATTGTTATCGAAAAACCTAATACATGGATGCAGAAGAAAATAAATTTCATAAAAAATCAAAATCAACCCCCTCTCTTATATTCAGTATGCCACGTGAGCGCGTTTGGGTATATATAATTGGGGAAATAGCTTACATCTGTGATTATGGACGATTTGTATTGACTTTTTTCGTACACCCATCCACTGTCGCATTCAATGACTTGTGATGTCGGCAAGCCGGGGTCGTGGACCGGGTCGATTTCCGGACTGAAAGCCTCCCCAGACACGTTGTATTTCACGCATTGCTCATAGACGAGTTGGTGGTCGTTCGTGTAGTTGGCAGGGATGCTTGCGTTCTTCATGGCGAGCATGCATGTTTGTTCGCTGAGACCGGCCGCGCTGCAGTTGAAATTGTCCCATTGCGGCACCTGGCACCGAATGAGAGGTTTATTCAGTAATTTCGAGGAAAAGATTCAACCACAAAATAGGTCGAAACAAACAAACAAACCAATATATAAATAAACAAATCAATAAACAATATCGACGGTAGGATTCAGGGGTTATACAAGACGATGTAAGCTAGCGTGCATATAGCATGTTTATAGATGTAATAGTACTGCAATGCCCTACCACAGGTACACCCAACGTAATTTCTTATCAATTATTTTCTGCTTCTTTCATTCGTTTTCGTTCTTTTCCCCTTTCTTTTGCTTTAAGCCTAATTTATTCATGTTCCATTATCTATATGTGTGTATATGTTATACAAACGTATTTTTTATTTTATACATATATAACGAGCAGTGGCGTATGCAGGATTTTTACAAGGAGAGTGTTTGTAAATTGAAAATTGCGCCGACCGATATTTGCTCGGGGGGGGGGGGGATATTGAACAATAATTTGTTTTTTCCTTTTTTGCCCCCCCCCCGCCAAAAAAAAAAAAAAAATGAAAATCGCACCGACCAATATTTAGCTATTTAGCTGAGTGTCTGTGTGTGTGTGTGTGTGTGGGGGGGGGGGGGTTGAGCATTATTTTAACAAAATTGTTTGCCCCCTGAAATGGGAAAATCGCGTCGATCAATATTTCGCTCAGTGAGGAGGGGGGGGGGGGGATTTCTACTCAGCACACACATCCCCCCTTGAGCAAAAAGAAAGAAAAAAGTTGAGGGGGGGGGGGGGGGGTTAACCCCCAAAACATCCCACCCCCTGCATACGCGCCTCCACATGCACATTACAATTCAATTAAAACTGTATTGATTTAAATCCAAACAGTGTATGTATAAAGATAAACAAAAATGTAAATGATAAATGTAAGATTACGTGGTCAAAATACAATACTTAAACTTTGTATATATTTATACATACATACACATAGACAAAATTAAGGCGGAAGAAGGGGGGGGGGGGTGTAATGTGTATTTTTATGTTGATTCATTATTTTTCAGTAGTTCTTTTCGTTTGTCGTACAATTCGTTTATTCCAAATATTATATTGCATTCATGTTGGTTTCATCATTGGACATCATTAGTTTAAATTTCTCATCGTCGTGTAGATTTTGAAAGTCATGTACTATATTGTTAAGTTTAGAGTAAATTTTGAATCTAAAATCTTTTAATTTTGTACATTTTGTTGGGAAGTGTATTTCATTCTCTATGTCAGTTTTACAATGGGGGCATATCCTAATTAGTTTAGAAAGGATTTCATGTTTTTGCAATATTTGATGTCAATGATTTTGCTCTTAACGTAAGCTTGTCTTACAAAGTTTTATCGGAGGAGTTTATAATGTGATGCCAGGAGCCAACGACATATTTTAATGTGATTAGTGTTGTTTAATTACATGAACATACTCCGTGGCAAAAAGGAAAAGGGCGAGGGAAAGGAAGGGCAATGGCAAAAGAGAGAGAGAGAGAGAGAGAGAGAGAGAGAGAGAGAGAGTGGGGGGGGGGGGGGGGGGGTAGCCTATGGCCCGGAATCAAATTCAGTTCTCTTTAATTTATTAGATCCGGTACTGATAATCAATATCTACCATGTGATTGCTATGTGTACGCCACATCGAATAGCACCTCATTTGTGTTTATTGTTAAAACAAACTAATATTGGACCCAGTAGATTTTAGCATGTGTTTGATTTTGTTATTGAAAACAAGATCAAACATATTATCATAATTTACAGAGTGCAACCAAACAATTCTTAACAGAATTTCTTCCAGGAAGCCTAACAATATAAGCTGTTTTTTATTCAAAGAGCATCGTAGAGACGATAAATAAATAAGAATAATATTAAATACAACGTCGTTAAAGGGATAGTTGAGTTCTGTTGCAGAGGTCGTTACTCAAAAATATTTTTGTGTGTGAGAAAATGAAAAAATGAGTTTAAAATTTGAAAGAACATACAATTTAAATGACAAAATCATATTTGTATGATCAAAATCAGTTGAAATATCCATAAATATAACGATTTATAATACTTGTGTACTACCACAAATATTGGAAAATTTGAAGAAGAAAAAAAACGTTGAAAAAACGAAATAGCGCCTTTTACGTCGTCTTTCAGCCATTGCCGATGTTGGCTTTTTTGTAGGCATTTTCGTGTAGGTTTTATTACGCACAACCAGCCGGCCCATGTTTTGTTATTTTTAATTAAATAATTAATTAACGATCACCGTATTTTTTTTAAAGTGGAGCTGTATTGGTATGATCGTATTGGCTAAATTTCACACATGTTGGGGTCTTAAATTACCTTCACATCAATTTTAGGTTCTAAAAGGGCACTAGAAACTAGAAATAGATAAGAATCAGAGCAATAACCATGCACTTTGAAGGCTTTTGCTGTCTGAAAACAGAACCCAACTATCCCTTTAAGCGTGAGACCGGTCACTTCTGTCTCTCCCCGCCAAATAATCCGAACAATCAACAGAGGGGAATCAACTGTTAAACGAATTTATCATTTGTCCTTGACAAAATATTTTATACTGCTTGTCATGTATTGAAGAGCAGCAAAGGCGAACGATTGTCAAACGATTAAGAAATCGTTGCTTGATTGCTGCGTACGCGCCAGATAACGAGCAAAGTGGTCAAAGCAAATATTTAAAGTTGGAATTGCTCCCCTGTCAAAACAAGAGACAAATTTTAAATCAATAAATACAATATCATGGGGGGTATATATAGAACGATAGTTAAAGGCATCGTTTAACAATGTTAAATCTGAGATGCACGTCCCTACATGCTACCAGTGTGTGTGATGTTGTGTAATATTGAAGCCCTTAAAATATCTCACTTCAAAATGATCAAGAAGTGCCTCAAAAAAGTAATAATCTTTGAGTGACCGGTTCTACCTTTACTCGTTTTCCCCAATAGACTGTTGTGTTATGAAAACCGTTTGGCAAACGCAAAATTTGGTTTCGATTTCCAATCATCAATATCTTGATAATCAGATAGGCGATCGGCTTCTAAAAGTCACGGAGTTCCCGACTGACCTAAAATGTTTATAATAATCATTGCAACATAAGCTAATTAATCCAGGATTTTGTTTCAGAATCTGAGACAAAGTTACCAGTAACGTTGAGATCCAATTTCATTTCATCATCACAATCCTATATTTCTCTTTTAATATGCATCTCTCTCTCTCTCTCTCTCTCTTTCAAGTTTCAAGTTTCAAGTTTCAAGTTTCAAGTTTTATTTATCTTTCTATCATAACACACTTTACAAATATGACATGAATATAACAAGTTTACAGAATATGGCGTTACAAAAGAAAGATGAGGTGACCTTGGTTGAAAGCAAGGCTTGTGGATTTAAGGTCCCTCATGAGTAGCTTATGAATAAAAAAACAAAACTCGTCAGATAAGAATAATGTATACATTTAAGTGCTGACAAACTAAACTAACTAAACAACTGATAAAATATAAACATAAATAAGTATAATAAAATAAAATCTACTGACTACTAAATAATGGCTATAAACGAAAGAAACAGGAAAATACAACGAGCAACAGGACTGAAACACAGACAAAAAAAAAAAAGACAGACAGATAATAATAATAATAATATGGTTATTTATATAGATGAATAGATGTGAGAGATGGGACTAGAATTATGCTGACCTATATAGTATTATCTTTCTATATTATTACTGATTCATTTCACTACCGGTCTCATGGTATAAAATAAGCAGGTAACCAATGACCTTCTTGTTAGCAAGGATGTGTAAGAAAGGAGCGGAAACTCTTGTAATTTATTCAAACGCATTCGTGAGTTCTAAAGCGTCACAATGGGATGGGTAACATTCCACTTGGGTTTGAAGTTCCATGCTCCGAGCAACGCTTCCACTGTGGGAAATTTAGGAGGTCAGGCACCAGTTTCACTTTTACCACAAAATATTAAATTACCGGCAGAATTTCAGTGTAATTTATAAACTTTATATGAGGATTGTATTGAGGATAGTGCATCAAATAACTTTTCAAACTTAGTACTCCATCCTTCCTATAATTTGTGTGCCAGAGTTAGTAAGAGAAAAATCAGATCCTGACAAAAACTCAATATTTTAGGATAATGCGCTGATTTGTGCATGTCTAAATTTCCCGTTATTTAATCCATGATTTACAATCTTCGACAACATTAAAGATAAAGTTGAGTTATGGTCATGCGATTGCATTGAGAAAGAAACGGTGTGGAACCGACCAGAAAAGGTTGATCATCTAGCATATAAGAATTTGTGTGTATTGCAAGGTTCTGGTATCATCAAAATGATAAGAAATTTGGCCAAGTCTTGGTAAAGTTACAAATACTTGCACAGAAAGATGTATATGGGACTACACGAACACGTGGCGTAAAAAACCGGCCCCCCGATTTTTACGATGTTACATGCATATTTAGAATATGAAGGCATTTGAAGAGACATGCTTTTCAGGGAACATGTCTTAACTAATGTTCTTCCACGCTTGCATAATAAGAAAGAGTAATGCTCACAAATTATTTTTCACCTCTTCCCAGAACTCAACCTTCTCTTTAAGTTTGCTAATGCGTGTTTTCGCGTTTTTTGTTGTTGTATTCTTGCAGTTGGAAAAATGATGAAACTACACAAGTTTGTGTTCGCTTGTTCCCCGGCATCTGGGTCTAGCTGGCAAGATCGGAAAGGGAGTTAGGGTTGCAATTGGATTTAGGCTTAGGCTTAGGGTGTAATGAAGTGCTCGATACTCGATTCGGTCCGGGGTTTAGTCCAGAATTGGTCCAGATTTGGTCCTTGTCTGACAAGAAAGGTCAAACATCATGCGAGTTAGGGTTGCATTTGGATTTAAGGCGTAGGCTTAGTGTTTCATGAAGTACCCGGCAGGGGCAGACCCAGCAGTCGGGGGCGCCCAATTATTGAGAAGATATTATTATTATTTAGCGGCGCGTTTGTGCGGACAGGGGGAGTCTGAGGGGGGATGTGCCCCTGAAAAGCTGGAAAAAAGGAGAATTTCCATGTGCCGGATTTGGTGTATACTTTTTGTCAGGATATCATTCTAAATCTGTGACTTCTTCCTGCATAAAATTATGATAATCCTTGGATTTCTAGGAGGAAAAGACTGTAAACACAAGAAGCGCGACCATGTGTGCAGTCCGTATGGATAAAGTACGCCAGTGTAACAAAAAGTCTTTAGGACACTGGTATTCGTGACACCGGTACTTCGTAATGTAAGTGTTTAATATTGATACATGTATATCTAAACAAAATATTGATTCCCTCAACAAGATATAACTTTTATCTGTTTTTATTTCATTTCTAAACAAGATTAGTATTAGCAACAATGTTGACAACCACATATGACATGGTACAGTTTCCTAAAACCTCAAGTATCAATTGATTGTCAATACCAGTCAATAGAAGGCTAGTTAAGCAGTTGGGATATACCCCAGAATGTCATTATGATACTTTGTACAGAGTAAGGTGCATGAATGTATTTTGATACCGTTCAGTGATAAAACTCACACTATCTCCAATTTTATACAACAAAAGGTTGTATTGGGAACCACTTCTATCTCTACGGATACGGTGCAGTGGGAGAGCCCCAGGAATTCTTGAATTTTTAAACATTTAGGACATTCAAAATATGTGCATGATTATGGGCAGGATACAAGTGGCTGGATGCCCACATTTGTTGACAAATCACATAGTACAGAAGAAGTACTTATCAATTGCAATCAGCACTCCAAGTTCGGTGAACTTAAGAATCAACATCAAGACTCACCGCACACCAGTGGTCCACTGATGCCCCCATGAAAACGGCGACCATTGACTGCCATGAAGCGGTAAAACAAATCATACAGACAATGGCAAAAACCCTCTTCTGATAAGGCCCGAACTCGCCGATCTGCACCAAAATATCATCCAGTCTGATCATGATTGACGATGGGGTTTAATTTAGTAAAAAAAACAAAACGCAAATTGGTCTTCAAGGTAGACATTTAATTTCAAAGGAGAACCCGGTATATAAAGTGCACTGAAACTGGTAACAGAGAATTGTAGGCCTAAGTATGTACGAAGTTATTGGCGAAATAAATATGACCAAGCACGTGAAGTTTCTCTATTGTGTTACTGGCAGTATTTGGGAACTATACGCCAACTAAGCCTTCTGCGTATAGTTCTGTGGTCACGGGCCACTGGCTTCATCTGACTGGTAGTTCCATTATGTGAATGAGTAAATTTCGACAAAAATATACAATCAATCAAAACAATTTTAATATCAGAAACAAGCTAACGACTAGTATATATTCATCAGCCGCTCACTCCAAAGCCGCCTGCCCACAATGGAGTGAGGACTTTGCGAGAGCGGCCGAAGTGCCAATTGAAACTCGCTATTTTGCTCATCTCCAATGTAAAAAGAGACGACATTGTGCTGGATTACTATTTTTTCTGAAAAAAGGACAGAGAAAGTGCATATTACGCTGTTATATTATACTTTTTGAAAGGTAACCCAAGTGACTCCCGGGCACCCCAACGCTGGAATGAAACGCACTTTTTTGAAAACTTCGCTTTTTCATACAAAAATGCTATTTTATTTTATGCACGCTAGTAAGATTGAGTGGGTGATACAACGTTTCCATATGATGGGGTTGCTATCAAAATATTCGCCCGAGCGACAGGATTTACATTTATATTGATAACATCAGCTTTACCATTTGTATTTTGGTACACAATTCAAACATTATAAATAAATCACGGGAGTAAACAACACTTTGTCATCCCTTTAGGAACAATAGGGACTTTTAGATTGAGTGGACGAGAACGGCGTGAACGGCCACTGATCATGCGTGTCCATGACAAGCCGTTTTAACATTTATTCCTATTGCTTGATATCAAAAATTCAATTATTGATATCAAGAAATGATTTCCTGTTGTAAAACGATGGTTATTCTTGATATCAATAAATAGGAATAAATGCTAAAACTGCTTGCCATATACACGCATGACCAGTGGACATTCACGTCGTTCTCGTCCACTCAATCTAAAAGTCCCTACTATCGATGGTCTTGTGGACCTCTTTGTGAAACCCCCGTATTTCGGTTTATTCATGTACCGTGAGAAGCGGATGACTCTTGCCTTATCCCCCGGCTCTCTCTCTCTCTCTCTCATTCTTTCTCTCTTTCCCTCTGTTTCCAGTTTCTTTTTGTCAATTATTTTCTCCTATCTCTGCTGTTTTGCGCCAAAAGGGACCACATTTGTGCTTATCATACTGGAGCTCAAAACCGGTCAAGTCTTTGCTTTTCTTGGGGCTCCACTTCACTCAGGATTGATCTATTTTGATCCATTTCTGTTTTTGTCTTCAATTGAATATAAAGAAATTACATTCAATCAGAGATAAATCTATTCGCTGATTTGTAACCTAGACTGCATTATGGTTGAATGATGACGGCTACATGCATGTTTCTTTAATGGTAAGAGAAAGTCGATTTAACAAAACCGTCTTTCTTTAGAAAAGTACAGATGGGCATCAATAAAATAAATAAACACTGAAGAGATAAATGTACTGATTAAAAAGTGCCATATTTTTATTCAAAATCATATTGAACCATGCTAAGTATAACCATAAATATATGTTATTTTGTTGATGTTAACAATTTATATAAACAGATACAATATTTCATTAGGCGTGTGTCAATAATGTCATAGTTCATCTTTATTGAACGAATCTTATGATTTTTTTAGAGGCTTTGTACATTAACCTCATGGTATTTGTTCATTGCACACTTATAAACATAAAAACATTCAGGGTCTAGCTCATGAAGCAATCTAACACTCAATGACGGTCACGTCCTGTTCCTCTTTAAATCATAGTCACATTAACATCAAACGGAGCCAATGAAATTTAAATAAACCGACGCATCTTTGACGGCCACACCCACAACAAAAAGTGAGTCACCCTTACTCAAATTGATGAGTCACTGGTTTGTCCGTACAGCGAAACACTTGAAGGATCATGTGAGTCACTATGACTCGATACAAGACTCATTTGTATCGAGTCATAGTGACTCACATGATCCTTCAAGTGTTTCGCTGTACGGACAAACCAGTGACTCATCAATTTGAGTAAGGGTGACTCACTTTTTGTTGTGGGTGCATCATGACATAGACCCCCCTACTCCCTAGGCCTATCACACACATACCATACCATGCCAGAGTCACTGTCCACATTTGCAATGGAAAATATATCCTAAAATATCACATTTTAGCGATGTAATCGGTGGTCCCGCTACCCGAATCTGAAAAATCTACTTTGTACGCACTAAATTAAGCCTTAACTTGAGATTTATTTGTCACCCATACTGTCACGAAACAATCTTGAATTAATTCGTTTTACATCAAATAACAAGGATCTAGGAGTTTCGTTGTATAAAACAATGATGCAAGATCATGCATGTTTTCATTCGACACGGCTTCGTGCGATACGGTAGAATCTATACACTATGAACATGACTGACAATGAGAGCAGACAAAATATACAGTTCCTCAGGTAGACAAAGGAACATCCCTTCACAGCTATTATGTAAAAAGGTGAATATGCATGTGACACCTGTTCTACACATTTTTACATAATAGCAGTGAAGGGATGTTCCTTTGTCTACCTGAGGAACTGTATATTTTGTCCGCTCTCATTGTCAGTCATGTTCATAGTGATAGTTAAGTTACACACAGCCTCATCAACTCGAGTGCGGATATCGTAATATGAACGCATGCATCATTTGTATAATAATCAGAAGATTCAGCCCACGAATCCAGTCATAAAAATCATCGTTTAAAACCATATGAATAATTATGCGTACCAATTTTTCACTAGCTGCAGTCAAAACTCTTCTGAATCCAAGATATAAGATGGCGACGTCGCGTCGTCGATCGGGAATTCAAATATGGCTCGAGAATGCGCATTTTGGATGACGTCACGAAAGCATGCGCGCGCATGCATACAGCCTCACTTTCAAGTTGACTCACTTTTTTCTTCTAAAATGCTCTTACGTCGATCTTGACTCATTTTTTACGACCATGTGAGTCAGTCGAAGCATTTTGCAAATGCGTCAGCTCATGATTGACACACTGGTGAATTATAAATGAGTCAATAGAGACTCATTGGTTGTTACTAATGAGTCAATTTACACCTGACTCACGAAAATTATGCTTAAATGTGTCAAATGACCCACTTTTTGTTGTGGGTGCAGTATTAATGATGTTTGGAGAATAAGTGATGACGATCCTCCTTCCTACGAAAAACAAACAAACAAATTATATTTATAAAACACATTGATTTGTAATGTTCTAGGGATTGTATGTGATTTTTAACTCAAGTTTTTTCGAACCTATTTCCAGGAATGTACCCTGCATGGATGTGGTTGCATCCTTACATAAACACACATCTACATTTTCACAAACAAAAATATATATACTCCATTATATCAAACTCTTGTTTTGCAACAGCTCCACCTACGTTTACTAGCATTGCTATTCTCCCCAGCTCGACCCTCTATACCGTGTGAGGGGGAGGGGGGGGGGGGGTGGTGGTTAAGCACTAAATTTTCTTTTGGAGGGGGGGGGGGGGCTCAACGAGGGGGGAGTGAAGATTCCTCTTCTTTCCTCAACATTTTTTTGTTGCCAGGGGAGGGGGGGGGGCATGTTTGGTTTTGCTTTTAACAAGGTAAAATTAACGTTACCATCTTTTTAAACTTGTTTTTTGGCCAGCGGGAGGGGGGGGGCATCCTCTCCCCCTAGATCCGCCCCTGCTATGAAATACACACACTCATTTCGAACATTAACTGCAATATATTTCTTGAATATTTTTTAAGAACCAAGTGCGACAATAAATTGACTAAAGGAGCAGAAGGCGACAGTCTTGGATGTAAAGGAAATGTATTAATAAAGGCGTGAAGTCAAAGCCAATTAACAACATAAATCATGGCAGCAATTAATATATAACATGTTATCGCATTTTACTAGATTGTAATACCTACATGTAAACTAAGTATAACGCAGGAATTTTTGGGGAAGCGGTGAGAAAATACCCCCAAATCATGACTTAAAATTATAATCCAGCAATTAATTGTGAAAAGTCGATTTATAGTATTCGTATGCCCCCAACAAAAATAAATAAATAAATAAATGAATAAGATTAAAAAAAAAAAAAATTGTCATACTTCTTTGAATTTGTTTGATAAATAGTGAAGAGGCGAACTTTTATAAGCTGTTGTAAAATTGTGAAGAATATCAAACAATTAATGAAAAGTGTAAAATAACGTTCATCGTGGCAAGCACGTTAAACTCACACATGCAACATATCTGTATAAACCGAAGGACATGTGCGTGTGTGTGTGTGTGTGCGGGTGTGTGTATGTGTGTGCACGAGTTTCTGTGCAAGATTGTATGAATTTAAAGGGCAATCCTACCCTTGTAAGATAGATAAGATACACATAATTACGAAAGTTTGAAATAAATCGAACCGATAATGAAAAAGTTATGAGTGTTTGAAATATGAAATCACTATAAAGTCTTTGCGAATCTCAAATTGGCAGTGTGGTCAGTAGATTATGACGTAGTCGGGGATAACTCTCCCGTTTGTCGTGTAGGAAAATATCATTACTTTCTGTTTTCTTCTTTAATTGCCTTCTCCCTTGGGGCACTACTCAAAATATGTAATGAATTTCATATTATTACAAGAAAAGACTCTCCTGAGTCATACGTTTTTGAAAACATGAACTTTTACTCAGATTGTGTTTCGGAATAAATGGGAAATTTGTCCAGCGCTACATCACAGCCCGATTCAGCCTGTTTGAAGAGCCCATACATTCTGATTAGAACTTCCAAATATTAATTGCTTTCTCATTTTGTGTCTGATATCATTCTAACTTTTACAAGTTTAATTCTTTGATTATCCGGCTTTCCTTTATAGTAGTTTGCTATCATGGCTGGATTCCCTTTAAGTAAACTACAGCCCAATAAAAAATAACTTCAGTTATTCTGAGAGATTTATTGAATTCTCTAGCCCATTAATCTACAAGATTTTCCACCAAAGTCCTAAATTGCCTTCTTCCTCGGGGCACCACCCAAAATATGTAATGGATTTCATATTATTACAGAACCTTTAAAGAAAATGGACTCTCCTGAGTCATACGTTTTTGAAAACATGACGTTTTAGTCGGATCGTGTTTCGGAATAAATGGGAAATTTGTCCAGCACAACATCACAGCCTCACTAAGCCTGTTGAAGAGCCCATACCTATAATGATTAGATCTTTCAAATATTCATTGCTTTCTCACTTTGTGTCTGATTTCATTCTTTGATTATCCGGCTTTCCTTTACAGTAATTTGCTATCAAGGCTGGATTTCCCTTTTAAGGAAACCACACCCCAAAAAATAACGTTAGTTATTCTGAGAGATTTATTAATACTCTTGCCCATTAATCTACGAGATTCCCCACCAAAGTGTATGAGAGAGGCATACAGCAAAAATAACATACAGTTTCCAAGGGTGACATGGGCATTACCATTTTTTGGATAACGTGACGTACTATATGAATTTTTTAATCAAGTATAAATGTATTCAAAATTATTGATGCTTCCTTCCTTGGTGTGTGTGGAGATGAAACATTACATTCACCTGCTATTATCCTTTGTACTACAATCGCAAGAACGCAAATTGCATAAATAAGTAGAGGCTCTTCTGGGGTGAAGGTTCCTCATAAATGAAATAGATTCGTCAACTGCTATCTTTTAGTATTTTAAATGAATTAGTTACAATTGTTCCCTAGTAATATATTTTCACCCAATATAAGTTTTATATTGTCAGGTATGATTTTTCCACATTAAAAAGTAATTGATTTAAAGTCTTGATAATGGCTGCGCCCATGACATGCTTAAAGGCATCACATCATGCCAAGAATGTCTATCTCTTGTATATTTTCGTAGGGAATATTGTGCATCAAAGAAATACATCTCATTTCTCAGAATACCTCTCTGAGGGTGAGGTTTCCTTTATAAAGTGTTGCGATCGAGACACTGGTCGTTGAGCGATATCGATGACCCAACATTTGCTCCGGTCAAAAAAATGCTCCGGATTTTATTTCGTCAAAGATGTAGGACTAGGGTTGCGATGTGGGTATATGGTAAGGTTTCGGATAGATCCATTGTTAAGAAATCCGTTTGTGTAGATTGACCTAGAGCAATAATGATAAAGTGTGGTACATCTGCGATATCGCCTCGGTAATCTGAATTAAACAGTTTCGTTCAAGAGTTAACATAAGAAAATCATTCGGTAATTGTGAATGAACATCAAAATGTCCTACAGATTTTTTGTAAATGTGGAACATTATTACATTGTTCAGCAAGTTTTATTCAATTTCCCTTTTGCTCCTAGAACTACAAAATTATTAAACAAAAAACACGACCATTCGATATAATATGAATAGATGAAAAGAAAAGATACCGAATTTTTTCTGATACTGATTCAAGTTTAAATTTTTGGTTCATATTCCTTGGTTTGAGACGGAGCTTTGGATTCCGTTTTGTATTCGAAAAGAGCATCTTTCTCCGGTTCGGAACCTGTAAACAATCCGCGGATTGCCGCACGGAACTTCGGATGCCGAACTGTGTAGACGATCGGATTCAGACATGAGTTGTAGAACGCAAGGAGAGTGAGAATATGATTTGTGTCGCCGTAGAGGTAACCCGGACTTATGACGCCGACGTTGTAGAGAAAGTAAGCAATGTTGTTCGGTCCCCAACAAATGATGAATAACATGACAACCATGAATAGCATCTTGAGGACTCGGTTCTTGGCGATCAGAAGGTTGTAGGACGGATTAGAACGGTCTTTACGGTCGTTGCCCCCTCGGAACCGTTTGGAATTCTTGTGGAGAATGTACGCAGTGACAGCCTGTGCTAGTAGCATGATGGTTGTAGGTACCACAAAGTATACCATGAAAATTAATATGCCAACGGTGTACTGTCCGGCTGAAGAGTTAAACCTCACGACGCAAGTGTGTCTAGTGCCGTCTACAGAACAAGTCAAAATTAGGAAGAGGTCAATGATCATGACCGCAGCCCAGACGGTGACAACCGCTAGAGACGTGTGACGTCTACTGGCGAAGCGACTGAACTCGATAGGATACTTCACCGCGATGAGACGCTCCAAAGAGATTAAGGTCAAGGTGTAGATTGACGATCCGACAGACAACCAGAAGAAGTAGGACGTGAAAATAAAGCGGCAATAGAGTTCCCCTAGAATTGAAGAAGGAATAGTAACTGCTGTGGGCAATGGAAGGATGAAAATAGAGGTGCAGAAGTCAGCTACCGCAAGTGAACTGATGAGAGTGTCAGTGGAGCGACTCATCATCCTACGTTGCCAAATGACTACTATGACGATTAGGTTACCTAGGACACCCAAGATAGAGGACATCAGTGTCAGTGAGGACCACCAGGACCATGTTACCGTGCCCCAGCTCCACTGAATCAGCTCCACCCTCTCAGTAAACGAACTTTCTGTTGAGACGTTTTCATAACTAGGCATATTGGTAGAGCCGCTGCCTGAGGATTCTACCGAGTCGGTCGCGTTTGACTCTTGATTACTGGGGCTTTTATCAGAGTAAGATGTGAAACCATTCGTTGACCAGGTCATATGGGGCAGAGCTGTAGAGGACAGCAATGATGACGTTACACCATCCTTTCGAACACCGTCGTTGGTTATCTCCTGGGCTGCAGATGAGTTATGTATAGACGCTCTCATGGTAACAGGCATTGTTACCAATGTATCATTCTTTGCCAGTCCCATTCTTAAATTCATGACAAATAAAGCTATTATTAGAGTAACACTCGCCATCCCTAAATAGTTAAAGATATTTTGCTGTATTGAACGGAAACAAGAAGGGGGCAAACAGACTACTATTCAAATTTGATTGGCGAATCCGAAAGAAAACCACAATTTTCCACCAAAATTAAACTGCATGTAATTTGACAGTTTGAAACAATCTTGGCACCGATCAGTTCTTCAGACTTAGCAAATTTTCGCAAGAAGAAAGCAGAGTGAAGGATAAACACGATATGTTTACCTAGCTGCGATCATCCAATTTTGCACTTTAATTATTCCCTCAGTCTTGTCATTTGATCCGAGTGACAGTGAAGTGTCGTTTGCATATCTGTAAAGATGATAGGAAACGGAACAACGTGTCTTGAAAAGAGAAGAAGCATTTGTAACATTTAGGAGTGATCAAACTATTTTTTTCTTCATTTTAATGTCTATTATATTGGATTGATATACAATAAACACCACTAAAACAACATTTATCTAGAAAAATTCAAACCTTTTCAAGAAGGTTGGCTAGTATCTTTATATGTCGCAATCAGTTATTGCGTTTCAATCCAACGAAACCTCTTTTAAAAGTTTGGAAACTCAATCTGGATCAATTATAGCTCTCTTAACGTGGCATAATCATCGATTTGAATGTTATTACTATTATTATAAAGTGTATTTATTCCTCTTTAACGTGGTATTTTACCATTTTATTGATATGATTTGTATGATTGTGCAGCCATGGAATGAACAGAACATCAGAATCAGGGACAAGGTCAACATTGGAAAGTTGCAAAATGAACTGGTACAGTGTGAGTAAAAAAAAAGTTTACACCTAGAAAATTGCCAATTATTTAAAAAATCATGGATGAACATTGAACTATTATATGTCTTATGAAAGAGTTTTTTTTTTTATCCCAAATCATTTGGAACCATTTGTGTGGTATGTGTTCACGCTTGGATGAACAGGAGACATTGTTTGCGAGAGTGCAAAGATCGACTTGCGCCAAAGTTGCCTATGTGATGTTTGAATGAAGCTATTGGGATTTGGGTATTAATTCAGTCTTTGCAGATCCAAATATCAACGAACATTTTTTGCGCGTGTGTGTGGGTGTGTGTGACTTTGCCCTTTGCAAAAAAAACATATGCAATGCATTTCATTTGATACATTTAATCCATTATCTCACTCCGCTTATCCCAACATAATACGTACTGTAGGCATCACTTTGGCGCAAGTCGATTTTTGCACTCTCGCAAACAATGCCACCTGTTCATCCAAGGGTGAACACATACCACACCAAAATGGTACCAAATGATTTGGGATAAAACACTCTTTCATAAGATGTATAATATTTTACTGTTCATAGATGATTTTAAAAATAATTAGCAATTTTCTAGGTGTAAATTTGTTTTGACTCACACGGTATAAGCACTGGCGTCGTTATGTAGAGCACTCTTGTTTCTCTGACACAAGAGAATGTGATATTTGTCAGTGAAAGTAGGACTATTGTTCCCTACTGTTTACACATTAATGCCAAATTCTAAAGAAGGTGAAATTGGAATTTATGCACTTATTTGCAATATTTGCTACTGTTTGGTCATCAACTTTCTAAATCATGCATACCTAGGTTAACTACTAAAAAATGACCCGGGCTATAGGGCAACTTGAACGAACCGTCGAACAAAGACAATGCCTTTTGCAACTTTTCACTTTTTACCTTGCCCCTCATTTTCATCTATATTACATTCCATGATTTAAAAAATCTTAACAAATGTGGTATCATATAAAAAGAAAGAATAATCCCACTGTCAAATGTTGCTGAATTTAGTGGCGATTACGCCATCGACAGAGATATATAATCGATCACTCTTGATTTTTTTAAAATTATTTTGAGGGGGTTATATATTTAATCATATTCGCACTATCAAAACAAAAACAAACGAATATCTTTGAAAATAACGATTACAATATCTTTAAATACAAATCTTACAAAAATATTTAAGTGAGGCGCAGAAAATAAAAATCTCACATGTTCCAATGTAATATACTCTTTCATTGAAGACTGTTATGACATTCCCTTTTGCTGACATACAGTTATAAAACAAGAAATCAGTTACGACTTATTTTCCGTGAAGAATTTGCGAGGATCGACCATTACAATACACTCAGTTATTTTCCCGAGGATGCAATTACTTCCGTCAATATGATCAACGGACATGAACGCCACGATTATTGAAGACAGCCGATATGAAATTGATACCCAGATTTGGTCCGGTTTTTCTTTTGAAATTTAGAAAACTGTAGTTCCGTTTTGTTTGATGTTCAATATTCTTCCCACCCATGCAAATAATATTGTCTAAATCCTTGCACCAAAGAACCTAAACAAAGATGTCATTTGCACTATGTAAATATTGGCTAGATTTAATTTCTGGATGATCAGGCCATCACAATCTCAATTCAAATAAAGCTGACAGAAAACAAAGGAGTTGGATAAGCATAAATGTCTAGAACTATCACAAAAATACTACCTTTCACTATGAACATGACTGACAAAGAAAGCGGACAAAATATACAGTTCCTCAGGTACACAAAGGAACATCCCTTTACTGCTAATATGTAAAAATGTGTAGAACAGGTGCCACATGCATATTCACCTTTTTACATAAATGTAATTAGTAGTAGTATTACTATCATCATATTATTATACTTTTATTATTGCTATTATTATCAATATTATTATTATCCTTTTAACGCTGGCCTCCAGAGAGATTTTCTGGGATCAGGTGCATGCGTATGTGTATAGGTGTGTGAGTGTGTGTGTGTGTGAAACAAAATATGTCGTACAAGCATCACTGTAAGACAAACTATATATTTGCCTATATTATAAAGAATTTGAAATTAAGGAAATCCACCATTTTTATGGATATTCTATTTTATATTACGTTTAGCAGGGTTCACAAAAAGGTAGTTCACAGCAAAATATGCTGCTCTTATAATTATCTTAAATATTACATGAATATGTATGGATCATAAACTCGTATGGAATTGGCATTTTATAAATAAAGAAAACATTCCTTAATCGCATTTATATTTAATTTATAGTTCTGTTGTTTATGAACTTTATACGACTTTGTTTTTTGTAAATCTAGTTTTAACATTTACAGTATCCTTCTAATTTCTGAGCGCTGATTAAAAAAAACAGAGACAAATCTAAATAAGGATTAAATATGTTATCAGGTCTGTAACGTAGTAATAAACTAAGTGCATTATATCAATAAGCATCTCATCCGAGAAAAGAACAAACTATATTAGAAATTAACAAAAGCCTGCATTTGTATGTGTATTCTATTTCATTCATTTAAAATCTACCGTAGAAGGATAATACATGATTTGTATAAGATTACAGTTAACACAATATCGGTCGAAGAAATTTAACACCGAGTAAAACGAATCTCGGCTGCCAAGTGAAATCAACAAAGTCCATTAGGTTGATGATTTTTTTTGGTTAAAGGGAAATCCAACGATAAAGCGAAATCTAATCTTAAGAGTAACTACTTAAGAAGAAAGCAGAAATCAGAAGAGCAGATTGAACAAAATCGAACATAAATTAATTGTGCTTTGCATTTTTGAAAGTTGTAATCGCTATACGTATGGGAATTTTAAACTGTCTGACTCAGAATTTTGTTTAGAGGACCTATCATAATATGCAATTCATAATATATTTTGAGTGGTACATTTAGGTAGAAGGCACTATGGAGAAAAAACAGGAATGAATTGTATTTTTCTATGGCCAAACGGACAATTTTGAGATAGGAAACAGTTATTACATATTTCAAACATTCATAACTTTCTAAAAAAAAAATCCACAATATTTCCATTCCGTTTCTCGCGTGTTTCTGCTTTCATACAAATGATCTTAATTCAAAATTCGGATTCGGATTACCTTTTAACCTTTTTAACCATGATTCTAGCAGATATTCATGCACTATCAGTAAACGTAAACGGTAGAGTCCAAAATATTGAACATGTCTAAAGATCTCACTTTGCAAATGATTCGGTAAAGGACTAGTCTTCATGTTTTTTCTTGCTTAAATGTGCACTACTCGATCAATTTGTACAGAAATAGATTATTAATACCTGTTTTTCCCTCAGATTATTTGAATCTTCATTTTATCAGATATCATACATTAAAACAATTCTGCTTTTCGGATGTCAAGGCAATTTTTGTTTTAAAGTACACAAAGGATGTTTTATTTAATTGATTTCCACATACGGACGGAACACACTATTCAGCACAGCTGTTTTTCATAGGGGTCCAAATAAAATAAATAGCATGTTCTTTACAAAAGAAACAAAACAATACATCAAATACACATAAATAAATAACAATACACTGCACATACGAATTCAATGAAATGTAACATTAAATCGAATGGACCATAAGTACAACACCCCCTTCCCGCCCACCCATCTAGAAAATTATACATAGCAGGGCCCTACCCCATTCAACAAAGTATTATTCTGAATTGAGTTTTTTTTTTTTTTTTTAATAAATCAATTGATGAGCTCAATGTGTGTATGACAGTACATCCAAAGTTGTATAGGTTAATATATACATGGAAACATTTAAAGAAATAATACAACATTTTTTCAAATATCCTAGATACTTATGAAAGATTGAATATATACTTACCACAGCGTATTTCTGTTATTATAACCAGATGCAAGATCAGTAGAGATGACAAAACCATCGAGAAGAGAGTCGGACAGAAAAGCTCACCGATGCTGTTTTATGAGATGGAGATACTCTGACAAACGTCTTTATAGACCTCTATGCATTCTCCCCCAAAATGCGCATGCGCTTATTCGTTATGTTTAATCTTGTCGCTGCTATGCATACGTCTCTCATCCTTCCGCTCTGCGGAGGCTTTACTTCTCCTCAAATTAC